TCTTTCGGAAGGCCGAAGATATCCGATTCGAAAGGTCCAGGGCGCCGTCCCCTGAGTCGATGAGAGTTAGTTGCTCTGAAGAGATCTCTACCAGCGGTGAACCAACTCGAACCACCCCGCCTGTATACCTCCTCCATAACCAGGAGAACTAGTTGCATGTAAATCAGGCAATAGATGAACTTTGCATGACACCCAAAGCGACTTAGAAGTCCACGGGTTCGGCTAACAAACTAGCAAGTCACACGCCAGCATTGAACTGGTCTCACAATGACCAGCGTTGTTGTTGATAAACCTCGGCTCTTCGCTCTGGGTCGCCAGTTCGAGTAGGAAACTAAGGGGTAGATTGGTTGCCGTGGTAGCAGGAAGCGGCTTTAGCAATGGGTATCCTTTGAATGATGCAATTTCTCGTTGAAGACGGCGTCTACGGCCTAGCTTGAATGCAAGATGATATAACTGCTCTTCGGTCATGTGAAGTGTCTGATCCCATGTATCGAAGCTATTAGCCGTAAGGACATGATAGTATTATCCGAGATCAATAGAAGAAAGCATCTGGGCGAGACTCTGAGCCCTTGCAGCTTGATGTGTGTTATCCTGGTCCATTGGAAAAAACGCAGCTGGATTTATCACACTCACCAGCCTTGTTCGCCACTGGAATGTATACTCATTGTGCATCGTGACCTACATCACAGACCTACGTCAAGGCGACAGGGTTGACTCCGCATGCCTGTTTCCTTGGGGTGGTTTGCGAAAAACCCGGAGAAAACTCCACTCACGCTGACGTCACACAAGAAATCCGCACGTGGCGAGCTACCATCTACCATCTACGCAGAAGCGAGTCACTAACATTATGATCATGGATCGCATCTCAATATCGCGGTAATTATCGTTGTAAGTTAAGGTTAACTTGCTTTATTTAATTTCACAGCAGCAGTCTTCGCCAAATCCGGGACTGCGCAATACACAAACAATGACCGGTCTACCTGAATATATCATGTTATGGCCATAGGGAAACTGCCATGGCCTTTCTTCACTATTGCTTGATCTTGGAAGGCTTGTACTCCTTCCAATCTTTGACGAGCTCGGCCTTCTCTTCAGCATTAAGCTCTTCGTAAAACTTAACGCCCTTGACGGCAAGGTGCGTTTCTCTAAATTCGTCCATAAGCTTCTAAATCAGATCGCTAACCTTGGCCGAAGTTCTAGGAGCCGTCTCCCTGGTGCCGCGCTTGCGTTCAGCCTCCAATGACCTCTCACGTTCTTCACGGACTGCACCGTCTGCCAATACGACAAAAGGAGATCTGCTTGATGCCCTGCGCTTATCAGTCTTTACATCACTATATCTCTCTTCCTGTTCCTTGGCAGCGGTAAATATGATATGTTTCGCGAGTTTCGCTCCGTATCGAATCTGACGCTCTGTCCTCGGCTCCCATGTCTTGACAAATCAGCCAACGGACGTAAACGTAGGTGCGAGGGTACTTGGTCTTGCCTGGTTTAAATGCCGAATTGATCAGATCCAGGTGCTCTGAGCGATCAAATTCATCATCAGTTGTGGTAGCAATCTTTTTTTGCCATGCAACAGCGAGAATGCGACTGATGTGTCTTTCTCGTGTATTTACGCTCGGTGCTGTTTTCATGCACTTTCAGATTTCCACGCCGATTCAGAAGGCTGTTGATGTTCTCTTCGTCTAGCTTTTAATAGCAATCAACGCAGTCTTTCTCAACTCGATACATTGCATGGCTTTTCTTTCTATACCGATTGATATTTAGTTTTCCCCGGAGACTGGTCCACCCTACAGTGTCGTCGCCCTCGGTTGTTTTTGGCACAGGTATGGAGACTAGCGGTCCAGTTGTGGAAGAATTATAGTGGTTGTAAACCCTCCTCGCTCGTCCATTTACGACGAATGTGAGCAAGCCGTGAGTTCCCATTTGGTCGATTGCTTAAGATACGAGATGAAAGTTTAAGGGTAGCAAAGACTTAGCGAATTTAGCACTTAAAATTGCTGGAGTGTTGAATGGAACGAGCCCGAAGCTGAGACTGAACTGCCACACGGCCTGGTTCCATTACTGCCACTCAGCCTTTCGGCATAGACGTAGAAGGCGGCGTAGTACTGATCTCTCAAACATCAGCTCCACTACCGAGCCTCTGTACTTGAATTTTGGGCCTGAGTTATCCATGTACGATGTGATTCCGGAAGGATCATCTCATGTATCCCCCCTTTGACGATAATTATACGCATTGAATGCTGAGACGTCTTTGTGCGTTATTGCTAGGTAATAGATTATAGGACTTGGATAATAGAATAAGGGGGCAGGATGCGTTCAATAAGAACACAACCTTCTTAATCCATTGACCTCATGCATAGATATATCACAATTTGACTGGGTGAAGCACTCGCCGACTAGAAGCTGTCTCCGCTGAGTCCGCTCACTGCCAATGAAGTATGCCTACTATATAATATTGATAAACCACTGCAAGAGTTCCAATAGACTTTTGTTCTTGCTGGATCGTCGCATATAGTAGCATGCGCCATTTAAGCAGGATAGGACTTGGGTTTATTTTCTCTCCTCACTTTAAATGGCTCATCGCTGCAGGAGGGTTGCATAAGGTATGTCAACTCTTCACAGAGGGCGAACCAAGGCTTGGAGCTGAGCCATCCTCGCTCAACCAGCCCATTTAAGGAACCACAAGATCCAGCACCTCAACCATCCGCGGCGACTTGGCGCGTGGTGCAGACGCATCTGTTGCTTCTGAACATGCCTTCCGCTTCCACCCACGCGTACTCTTGCCGGCGACTTTATTGGCCTCTCTCTGAGCCTCTTTCTTACGGTAGCCTTCTTGGCTGCTTACTCAGCCTGTTTAGCTTCCCTTTGGACTTCTTTTTGAGCCTTCATCTTTTCCCTCTCGGCTTTCTTCTCTTCTCGCTCAGCATTCTTAGCCACTTTTGCCTTCTTTTTTGCAGCAAGCTCTTTCCTTGTATTATCTATGTCCTGCCAGAGCATCACCTTTGCCTTTCTTACTACCTCGGACCTAGTTGACCTGCAGACTTTGCTTTTGTTAGTAATTTTAGCTAGAAATCAATTCCGTTCCTCTAGGAGGGCATATTTTGTAAAGCACAATCAGCCACTATTGAGGAGCTTCTATTAAAGCTTTTCTTTATGTTGCCTATTCGCTTTATTATTAGGGAGCTGGCCGATTGCGGTCTAGAGGCGCGTAAGAGCTTCTGCTGATACTGGCGTTGCAGGCGTTTGCGGTACCACGTCGTGTACATAGGAGCCTACCTCCGTCACGTTTATTTCCGGAGCTGTCAGTTGATTGAGAGGTTTGGGAATCTCATTCAGTACTTTCTTAGAATTGAAGGGATATATACCGGCCTTAGACCATCCAGCTCGGATATTGCGAGGTGTGAACACCTTGGTCCTTGCAGGGCTGTAGAGATAGGTAAAGTGCTCCTTGCCAATTGTTTCTACATAACCTCGCTTAAGACTCTCGACTTGTTCGCGATAAGCCGCCATTAATAAGCTGAATACTGAAACATCACAAGGTTGTAGTTTATATGACGTATGGGAAGGTATATTATTATTGAAGCAGTACTGGAGGATTTCGAGAGTTTTATGAGTCCCAAATCCATCTCCGATTAGTACGCGTGGTTTGCCATTAGCAAGCTCTCTTGTTTTGGGATCGAAAATCGGATTGAGCCATTGAAAACTGATATAGGAATTGGTACTCCCCTTATTGGATAACGCATAATGCCATCCGGGAGTCTCATGCGTCGACCATTTTGCTCTGTGGGTTGACGCAGGCCATATGATCATTGGATTCAGATACCTACTGTCGGCGTTCATGCATTTAATGGCTGTAATGTTTTGTGCGTTTAATACGCGCCCCTCTTTAACCTTATTTGTTATTCTTGCTGATAATGACTTTGACACTCTTCAGTATCGAAAAGAGGGTGCTAGTCTTATCATAGTTCCACATACTGTATGGAAGTATGTCTGAATGCTGTAGCACTGGCCCAATCACCTTAAACCAGTGTATAGACTTGTTATAGATATCGAATCATCTCCAGTCTAGTGGTTATTGCTCACGTCAAGTTTAGGGCAGCGTTTATAAAAGGCTTGCGGCCAGCCTTTGTAGGGCAAATCACTTGGCCACATCGCAAGGGCTTTCTCTTCCCATGGATAAAGAATATCAAGCCTGCCTTCCAAGACTCTAATCAGAGTTTTGTTGCAGATTCTGATGTATCGTTGCTCATGAGTAGACTTCGCGGTAAGTTCTTAGTGGGGTGAAATTATATACAGCTAATTGCAGTTAGTGCACGAGTCACCAGTAAAGGCTGGGTATCTCAGCAGGATTCCAGATACATTTAGCGTAGGAGACAGATGTTTCTCTGACGATGACTTCGAGATATCGGACAATAGCTATGATGAAGGATCCGGGTCTGACGAGGATGGCAGGTATGACGAGTATGAATGGGACACTGATGACGAAGTCGAGGAAGCCAATGCGAATGATAATATCCTCAGGATAATTGAGGGAGATTGGTGGTGAAGCTTGTTGGCGTATTTCAGTCTCCACTTGATGACTACCAGGCATTTCTTATGCACTTCTAGTTAGGTAATTTGAGCAACCAGCGTGAAAACCAAACTTCTTTCTGCGTTCCTCTGGGGAGGATTAACCTAGAAGGCTCCAAAGCTGCGCCACATCCTCTTCAAGCTGCCGAGGCAATGCGATTAGGATGTATTAGCAAAGTGGATTTGGGCTAAGTTACATGCTTAACTAGAAAAAGCTTCAGGGTCCAAGTACGCTAAACTTTCTGCCCATCCATACTTCTAATCTCCGCACCCATGCTATCACATTATCCCATCGACGTAACGCCCTCAAAGTCTGTTAAAAGGATACTTTTAGCTATAGTTTTCAATATATCATATTATTCTGAATAGAGGTCATTAATCGCCATAATGCAGGGACTAACCTCAGAAGCGGAAATGCCTAGCGCCATTATCTCAATCGGCAGTTATATCACTACACAATTTCAGCTAGTTATAAATTAGTACCTAGTGAAGGAGAATGGCTGTAGAATATAAATAAAGCAGAAAAGAGTCAATCTACCTAGGAAAGGGTGTTTGCGAAAGCTTCGGAGTTAATTATGGCTCGCCATACCGGGTGGCTCGCCATACCGGGATAGACGTTAGATCAAGGCCTGGCATTGCCACCAACTCCATTAACATCATGGGCCAGAAAGGGGACATTCAACAATTGATTGTAGATAACTAAGTGACGATATGATCCCCAACGCGGAAATCGCGTTCATAGGATGGCAAACTAGAGAAGTTACCCTCAAACGCGCATCATCAATAGTGGTGGAAATCACTGGTCCAAACTCCATTGACTAAGCTAAGTTACTTTGAATAGTTAAAGATGAAGCAGTCCCAGCTTTGCTTACTCCATGCCTAGAAGCATGAACAGAGTGCAAAGAATGGCAACTCATCCCTATTAAGCTGTTTGATCAAGCATTTTTTGTGAAACGAGTGCTTCCCACAGCCTTTTGGAATCATGTCCTCAAGCTCTTCAAAGTCTCCCTTGCAGATATTGCATATACGCTCATCTTGCGGTAATGTTTGCAAGACTTTGCTAAAAGCAACATGAGGAAATAGAAACTTTGAATCGTATCGAGTTTTGTCCTGGTATGCATTCACCAGAATGTCGACAATCTGGGGATAAACAGTTTTGGGAAGCATACCAAACAACTGGCGGCGATGATCCTCCTTTGCGTCGTTCAAAGCAAACGCAAGCTCAACAAGATTACCAGCAGGAATCTTGTTGAGGATACTCGCACAATCAGCGGGAGTCTTACAGGCCCTTACACTGGTGCGAAGTTTGGTTCTGCGGCCGTAATCGTAAAAAAACCTCCCTTGATTGGCGGCGGATCCATCATTTTTGCGTTGCGCTTGAGGCGCATCAGTGCTCTCTGACTTCCGAGCACGTTTCCCGGAGTTTTCTTCTACTTTCAGCTCTGCATCATGCTGCTCGGCAGTTTTACCTTGCTTGCTTTGGTCCTGGGATGGTCGGTCTTTGGGGTTCACTTCTTCTTTTACCTTGTGCTCCATAGCGTCGACAATATAACGCTTGGCGTTCGACTTTTCCTCCTCCGTATCCGAATCGACGCGAGAGCGTTTCATTCCTGCCACGATGGTATTAGATAACTTGTTCTGCATCATGCTGCTCGACAGTTTTACCTTGCTTGCTTTGGTCCTGAGATGGTTGGTCTTTGGGGTTCACTTCTTCTTTTACCTTGTGCTCCGTAGCGTCGACAATATAACGCGTGGCGTTCGACTTTTCCTCCTCCGTGTCCGAATCCACATGAGGGCGTTTCTTTCCTGCCATGATGGTATCAGATAACTTGTTCTTTTGCTTTGCTTCAAATATGTGTTGAGTTTGTTCAGTCTTGTGAAGAGGAGTGTATTGATTTATAGCGTTACTGCGCAGTGTATACTGACACCAAGTGTCCCAGTTTTGAACCCGGCGGTCCAATCTCGGGCCCCATGCTCAATGTGGACAAAAGTTCATTTTAGCACAATCAGTCCCGTAATCAACCCAGGGCGCCTGATTTCGGGTATTCGTTCATCGGCAGTCCAGTGAAAGGAATTAGGTTTGTATTCATTACTGACACAGATTTCTGGGAATGTACAGCCGAGGCGTCTAATTTCATGACAGCAGATCTGCCCACAACATTCAATTCTCGACAATGTCAAGCCCGCGTTGGACAATTTGCAGGCGTCCAAAGTAACCTATGTCGTAGGGAATCTCAGCTTTGCAGTTCAGGCATTTCGAAGACGTGTCATCGCGTTCATTCTTCAAATGTGCTGTAATACATCCACGACAGAATGCATAACCTTTCCCAAATAAGTCGAGCTCTTCGTGCGCTTTCACTTGCCACAAGGTGTGCAAACGCGCGCAATCGTATTATCTGGTCCTGCCGATTCAAAACAAATGGTGCACTTAAGCCCAAAGATTTGACGGGTTGTTTGCGGGTGGGAATAAAAGCTATCGAAATGGTCGTATTTCGGGCATATGAGTTGGAGGAAGCTGTCGTGTCCAACACATTCGCCGCAAACGACCAATTTATTGGTTAGCACAGCCAAAGTTGATTTCTACGTTCGTCTACACATCCGCAGTCGTTAAAAACAAAGACTCTACTTTCAAGGTCTCCTTCTCCGCCCAAGACATTTGGACATAAGCAGCAGTGTTCTTGGTCAACCGTAAGATCGACAATCGACGATCGACCTGATGATGGGTCTAGTATGATTGAATATGCTGCTCTGCGGGGATTGGACCTCCCTTTCCTCCCTGACATCGGTCACTGTTTCATGCTTAGCCGTTATTACTTTTTTGGTGGTACATATCTTACCGTTGAGGTTTCGAAGCCACGGAGAGATTTGAACTGCGAATTCGTCGCAGTCTTGAAGGAACTCCGAATCAATGAGGGATTTTAGCTTTGCTCTCACTTTTGACTTCTCTTTGCTGATCCATAGGACCATTCCTGTATTCCTGGGTGAATGCATCTTCCCTCTGGACTCTTTCATTTTTCGACAAATCTTGGTTGCGAACTCTTGCAGAACGGGTATGTGGAGCGTCGTTCCAACAATGATAAGTGCGTCAACATTTTGGTGTAGATCTTCTTCGAATGCTTTCATGATCTCAGGATCTGCTCCATCACTCTCGTTGTATAGTAATACGTCGGGTCGAAGAAATCCTACACTGTGAAGCCTCTTTCCTTCTCGGATCCGCTCTTCATTCTTCTTATCACATACTGGGCATCGGGCACCTAGCAACTTTCGCAGCGGCTGCTGCTTGACTGAAACTGTGTGCTGAGAATATATGTGACATCTCAATCTGTCTAATCGACCATGGAGATTGAGCGTTTTTTTACTTAGTGCAGGGAGCTTGCTCGTGCGGCAGTCAATGTTCTGGGTATAGTGCCGGTGAAGGCGGCCTAATTGAGCCAACTCCTCCATGAAAAGCTCAAAAGGTTGAGGCTCACCTCTTGATGCCGACTCGAGTATCTGCAGCTCGCTCTGGTGTAACAAGTTCGCAGAGTCCAGAGAAGAGTACGCTGAAAGATCAAATATGTTTCGGCTTGCCATCTTGGTTCTCGAAAAGCTCTTAAAGCACGGAACTATTACAGTGTCTAGTTAGAGCGTGCATAACGAAAAATGGACTGTTTGTGAACTTACTGCCCGCATTCGTGGATATACCAGCTCCACTGATGATTATGATCCTTTGCTTTTCAGCCAATTGACTTGCTACTTGTTGGAATGTCTGGAGCTCTTCTGAACTACCAGCGATGTTTGTAATGCTGGCTTGGATGCTGGGCTTCTGATAAGGACTGAATGATGACCCTTCGTGTCTATCTGTGCAGGTTTGATGTTTTGGCATTTTCGCGAACAGAAAGAGTCGGTGTACAGCGCAGGCTGTCGAAGATGGACCAAAAGTAAATGGGATGCCAGGAGTGATGGAGACACACCGCGTCTTATATCTGACCAGACTGGCGCCATGTCTCCAAGTAAAGACTAGTGGCTTCAGGGGTAGGCGTATCCTCATTCATGCTATATTGCAGGAGGAGAACACTGCCACCGACTCGCGTTCCTGATCTGCAGTCGACAATAGTACTCACAGAGGATGACTGGACATCGAGGCCTGCTTCGTTTCAACCGCTGATGAAGGCATGATGATGATGCCTGCCACTGATGAGGCGCAGCATCTAGCGGCGTACCAGAACTTGTAGGACAGCCAGAGCATAGGTCGCATGAAAGAAGCTGAACGGTTCGGAATCCGTAAGGACCTCGCAGCGCGAGATGACGTGGTAGATGTCTGATCTAGCCTAGCTCTGAATGAGAGCGTAAAGAAGAGGCCATTAGCTTCATGGCATCCACCCTCGACTCAATAGCTTGTCGAAGGATAGTCGTACCGGGAAATATTCGCTCTAGTTCTGATTTCAATGGAGCTGCAAAGTCTAGAGCCGATACTCCAATGAAGTAAGCCTGTGTCAGGAATAAGGAATACAAGCAATGCATGAACCAAAAGGAATAGAAGTGAGAGTTCCGTTCGTTGGATGAGTGATATGTTTGCGAATGCGTTCTCATCTTTCAGTCGATAGCTGTAGTAGAAATCAGAAACTGCTCAAATGACCACGGATTGCATTATGAGACTAACCAAGAATGATGCTGCTTGGCAAGAGTGTCAAACTCTTGCGTTGGCCTTTGAACGGAATATCAATGACAGATCTCTCTTGCTTGGAAATCGGTCGTTCATACTCGAATCACCCATTGCATTCGGGACCAGCTATGCACACATCAGTAGCTTCTGTTCAAGCCTTGATGAAGATGGTAGAAAGACGTTGAACACCACATACGTAAGCTACCTCAGCATACACAAAATGGGAAAGTCGAAGGCTGTGACATAGCCCTTGATTATAAGCTTGGCGGTGCTCAAGTGGCGTAGGGTGAAATGTGGTCATCGACTTGGTATTGTTTCCTGGCATCAACGAATTGTTTTCTTCGGCGATTTCTATGCCACCACAGAGTCTGAGCTTGTGGATTCATTCTGGAACTCAATTAGGCATACAGTAGTTTACTGACCAACTGGATTGCTGGATTGGCAACAATTGCGGCCTCGCCGTCGGCTATGCTGGAACCTGGATCGGCTCTGCTCGGTCAGTAGCCACGTATATGGAACACGCGGCCAATAGATGAGATCTTTCGCATATTTGAATTGACCACCATATTGCTCAGCCTCTTTTCAGGAATCCGAGTGTCATTCCCAGATTGGGTCCCAGAAAAGGACCCTTGTGAGCAAGGCGAGTATGAGGGATAAGCCACACGACTTCGAGGATCGCAGATGGCGAGAAGTGGTATAAAAAGTGCAAAGACTGAACAAATTCTGAGAGCTTCATAATATTCAGAACCAAAATCTCTATAAAGCTCAGACTTTCTCAAATCGCACCTACATATCTCCGCGTCCAACCTCCAACAATGCAGGCCAAGATTGAACAACAGCCGTTCAACAAGCATGTCCAACCACCAACCAGGTTCGACAAGAAGCCTCTTCGCTCCATTTTTCTCGCAGGAAGCATAAACATGGGGGATGCCCCACCGTGGCAGAGAGAGATGGCAGAGATGCTCTCAGATTTGCCTATAGTTGTATATAACCCACGCCGCGATCGAGAAGGGAACAAATTTGATCCAACCCTAAAGCAAGATATCTCAAACACAAAGTTCAGAGAACAAGTCGAGTGGGAAATGGACCATCTCAAACAGTGCGATATCATTGCGATGTACTTTGACCCACACCCCGAGAAATTGTCACCAATTACCCTACTGGAGCTGGGTCATCATGCGAAAGACCGAAAGCTAATTGTCGGCTGTCCGGATGGGTTTCTCCGCAAGGGTAACGTCCAGATAGTTTGCAAACGTTTCGACATACCTCTCATTGAGTCGCCGGAGGAATTCAAGACGGTAGTTAGACAAGAAGCCGAGAAGCTGTGTGCAACAAAGGTCAGCGAATGGGAAATTGTGAACTTCATGTGGGGAATTTGGAGAAGCGTTACTAGTAGGATTATGGGATAAGCAACAAACAAGTTGCCTGGGTAAGAGTTTCAGGTGTTACAATTGCATCAGAATACTGTCAATAAGATCAATACCAGCATTCACTTCTCAATTCCATCTCGCCTGTCTTTGGTATGTTGTTATTGAGAATCCAGGAGATAAGTGATGAAAAAGTCACCCATGAGACTTGCCCCTGGATATCGTCGCTGCATCTATTGGATGGATAAAAATTGCTATCTATGTAATTTCAAGGTGACAGAACTTGACCATTTTCAACTTAGGGACTCTGGTTCACCGCACTGAGCAACCTCTCGGTCGTGCGGTGTCATATTCTGGTTAAGAAGCCATTTATACTACTGTTACTACAGCATGAAGCCGAAAATAATCCAACCACAAACTCCTACGACAATAACCGTGGCCTTGGCAGTTGTAGAAAATGACCATCTTATATGGTAAAGACGCTGATTAGTGTGCTTAGTAGTCCAATAAGTGTATGCGAAAATGAGGGACTTGGTACTTATTAGTAATCTTATAGCCAAGCATCTTAAGTTTTAGGCGTGTATGAATATGTATATAATGAGCCAAACATAATTCCAGTGCCATTTATACCATGTTCTAGATATACCAGCTACTCCTATAAGGTATAAGACGCCCTGCAAAACGGCAGAAGTTTGACATTCTAAATTGTACTCTGGAGTACCTGTCCACCTTTACATCTGCTTAAAGTCTTTGAAGACTGCAGCAAAGTAAACATGTTTGGACGCACAAGATATCCTGTAAGTATCAGCTAAGAGAAAGAGCGGTACCAATAGTATATCGCTATTCGAGCCTGATGTCGCGGAACCATTAGAAGTGATCCACTCAAGTTATCATGCGAGATGAAGAGATGAGATTGTCATCTATCTACCTGGCCGTGTTGTACTTGGATATCGTACAAGGATCAAGACGTTGCATGAAGGAGAGAAAGCTTAGGAATAACTCTTGCTCAAATATATAGAAAGGGAGCCTGACCCGTCTTTCCTAATTAGGATTAGAGGGTCTGGTTGGCTGTCACTGGGTTCATGTCACTGGGTTCAGGCAAGGCAACAGGATGGTGACTAGCACATGTCATGGGGTGACCCCGTGACACCTGATTAGACTAGGTATAAGTCACTATATAACGGGTTTGTGAGACAGTATTCTCTGAGCCTAGTTGGGTCGCTTTCGGCGGCATTGTAGAATGACCGTACTGTACCTGTGATTTATGTGGAATATCCTAATGCAGATAGTCTGAGTGCTTTCGTTATATGCTGCAACTGGCGCTGAAAAATTTGATGTGAGCATACGCAATGTTTGTACATAAGCAGGGGTCGCTATGTCTGACCTTTGGACAGAGTTTTTGTCATATACTCTGTTGGACCATCATATTGAACCAGGCGAGCCTAATTTCGGGCCCAACCTGGTAAGTCGCTTGGAGACATCGATCAAGTGTTGTTTGGAGAAAGGTGACACATTTTTGAACCCCACACCTGCGGCGGTCCCCTCAGGGGGCCGATTTTGAGTTCCCTGCTACCGTTGCCCTTGACACTTCCCATCATTGCAATCGAGTCTCCCTTGATGTCCTTTATACAGATATTCATCAGAATATTCAACTGACTATGCACGAGTCTGGAGAGCACTAAACAATACTCTCGTATGTTGACGGTCTACTTTAGGGCTGACATGGCTGTGGATTCGCTCACCATCTGACACATGATCAAGATATTTGGATTTTGTTCAAACAATGTCTGCTCAACAATATAATCAATTCTTCGATTTGGATAGTGCAACGGAAGAAGACGACCGTGATAGTTTCAGCGGGGACGGGATGCGTGATGAGAGATGACGAAAATGATAGCGAGGATGTCGTGGACGATGATGTCAGTGAGAGTGAGTCCAGCATATACACCTCGTCCGACGAAGAACCTACCACCGAGGACTTGGCTTTTATTGTGCCTGATACATACGAGCCCAGTGGTGATAATGACGATGTGATCAGTGAAGAAGATGTACACGTGTATCATATAGAGGGTTATGGCACGTTCATCCCACTTTCAGGATATGAGGATCTGATGTTGAGGCCATCGCTGAAGCTTCGTATACTTCGAAACCACACGGTGGAGCAGCCAGCACGTTTTCTTCGCCTCGGCCGCTCTGCCCAAGACTCTACGTGTTCCTCATCAATCACTTCGGTTTCAGATACCTAGGCAGGTATTGCAAAGAAGACATCTATTCAGGGATCTATTCAGGGTCTCGGCTGTTGGAAATGATGTGCGCATTATAGAGCAAACGAATAGAGTAGTTCATGGAAGATTAACCTGACTAGCATTGCTAGAATAAAGGAAGGGAGACCAGTACTTTTATATAGTAACAGCAGAACGCTATATTTTAGACGTAATGATAATAATCCAAGCGTGGAGAGTTTCGAGCCTTCTAAATACCCATACCGCTAACCGTTCGTTGGCAGGAGATCGTTTTTAGATGGTCCGAAACTGGACACTACGGTAGGATTTGCAGCCAATCAAGTTGATGCCGTTGGTGCAAGCCCTTACCCAAGGGTGGTCTTGCGTTACTTTAGTGTTTAGGAACGAGATCAGTTTCTCACCAAACCAGTATCTGGAAGCCGGAGGTTTGTAGTGAACATGGATCTGCAAATTGCATTCTAGGATCAAACTAAGTTATTGAATTAACTACAACAAAGACTGACAAATTGAACAATCAAGTCAACTACCTCCCATTTTATCATCGCCATGATTTGACATGCAGTACCAAGCATTTACGAAAGTTGCACAAGACTTTCCCACTAACAACCTTCGGGGTAGTGAGTCCAATGGCCTTAAGAGACTTTTTCACTTTGTTAAAAGTGGTGCAATCAGTTCTTACCACAAATCAAAAGAATTTCCAATAGGTCATGCGCTCAGCTTAAAGCTTTCAGGATATCTAGCCATTGGCTATATAACCACGCGACTAGTCCATGAGGCGATATGCTGCTATAAAGATAGAAAGGCTACTAATAACCCCAGTTAAGAGAAATATGCCCTTCTAGAGTGCTTTCGTAGCACCACTAAATTTGGCTATGGATAGAATGCAGGAACGCGCGACTTGATGGTGAAATGCGTTAGAAGGGATGTTGACCAGAAGGAGTGTTATCACATGATGTTGGATTAGCCTTGACCAGAAGGAGTGTTATCACATGATGTTGGATTAGCCTATTTGTCGAGCGCTTAGAACTAGGTGCAAGCAGTTTATAATTAAACGCTCGTCTATAGCTAATTCTAAGATGTTCTCGGCCAAAATATTTCTAATCACAACGAAGGAGATTTTTAATTGCGTCACCTAGAATCAATCCTTGACTGACCAGGATTTGTATGTGCAGTTACATCTGTGTCTCGATTTTGGGCTGCGGCGGTGCCACTGCCGAGCCAGGTCTTCTGCCGTCCGAAAATCGCTCATGAGAGCTTAAGGCCACGCCAGCCAGCAACAATAATGTGGGTGTCGGCGTCGCGAGCCGCCCGGTGTCGGGAGCCAAATCATAGGTACTTCGACTTCAAAGAAATCTCAATTCTATTACACGCATCT